GAAACGAATTGATACCTAACTGCACTCGAAAACAATGGAAATTATGCGAAAAATTTGTAGATGACATTTGGAAAAGATGGCTCCGCGAGTTCCTTCCTTCATTGATGCCAACAAAAAAGTGGCACAAAGTAGACGTCCCATTAAAGAAGGGCGATGTTGTTTTGATTGCCGATGACACTGTCAAAAGAAATCAATGGAGAAAGGGTCTTGTAATACGGGTCTTTACTGGTTCAGATAATCAATTTAGAATAACGGAAGTAAAAACGGCCTTTGGAATTTTCAAACGTCCGACAAGAAAACTGATTCGATTCATCGAAGTGCAAAATTAAGTTTGTACGGGGGGAGGAATGTTACGAACTAAGTTTTCTTTATTATTTATATACGTTGTCAAGCGTTTGCCTGTATTTTTGATTTTTTTACATTATTTAGTATAGATGAGCGGCGTTGGCTCAGTGGTAAGCGTGCTTGTTACTGATACAACGCAGTTCTAGGAGTCGTGGGTTCGATTCCCGGTGAATGCAGATTTTTTCAAAAACTGTTTTCATCGGGAAAAGTTCCTATGTAACCCCGGCTGTTTCGGGGCGGGTTTTTCCGTGGAATTTTCCTTCAGAGAAATTCCAGGGTTTTTTCCTTGCCCCACAGGTTTTCGGGCCTGGGTGAATGCAAAACAGTGTTAGGGCTATAGGTAGGGATTGTTGGACCCGATGCCAGACGTCGGGCAGGGATCGCCGGCCTTACCGGCGAGGGGTGGCCCCTGAAATACGGGGCTTCTCCGGGGATGCTAATTAGCCTGGATCCGATGCTTCGGTAGAGAGCGCCAGCTTAACCGGCGAAGAGTGAACGTCCTGGAATAATGGAATCTTCTCCGGGGAAAGGCTACACAGTGGTGAGTGGACCCAATGCACCATCGGTGCAGAGAGTGTCAGCTTAACTGGCAAGGTGTTCCACCGGAGATACCCACACTGCGCCCATGGATACACCTCCACACATAGGTGGTGAGTGGGTGGCTCCCGCGACTAGGCCAAGTAGGCTGTCGTGGTAACCCGGTATAAAAAAAAAAAAAAATTATTTAGTATAGATCGATACAAGTAAACGACTCCTCACACGCTTAGATAAGTCGTGGTGAAGGTCGTGTCACGATCAGTCAAATAAAGTCTGGCCGGAGGTACTCTTTTCTTTCTCACCAATCACCTTAGTGATTGATAAAAGAGGAGGACCACAGAGCGAGAGAGCAGAGTGCTCAAACGCAGACGTTCGACCGAATCAAGTCGCCTTTTAACTTTCTCTTTGATCGAATCTCGTTACCATGACAACTTATTTTGACATTCTTTTTTTTTTCTGGTTATGATTTTTCATTTTTCTTTCTGAGACGAGGGTCAGATCCTTTTTTGTACGCAAACAAGCAACAACGAATACCTGATTTGTATTAATCCATGAACAAATAAAAGTTCTTCTCTCCATTCGTGATCGTCAAAGTTTATTTTTTTCTTTAAGTTTCTTAAAGTCAGAAACAGGTGATGAATCATCCTCAAATCTCGACGGCGCATCACTGCATCAACGTTAGAAACAAAAAAACAAAATGAGTGCTGCAGCCCACATTATATACTCGGAGCATCGACCACTTCACATATGAAAGAGCACTACCCCTGCACCCTACTTAACAATCCTCACAAAAACCAACACTTTCAAATATCCATTAGGCACTTAAGGAGGAAAAACGTGGAAACTCGTGCTAATAAACATAACCCACTTTTGATAACCATTGTACTAGCCATGCCTCCTAGTAAGCTCGTAACACAGTATACTTAGTCGCGAGAAAAAACAATTTACTAATATCCCAACAAGCATCTCGTACTGTGTGAAAGAGAAGAAACAGGCGTCCCCACGTTTGTGGATGGACTCAAGCAATAAGTACCCGAAGCTTACCTTGTTTCATTTCCAGTCACACAACAGTTACCTGTTTCAATCCATTCCCATGGCACCATGGCATGATGTCCGACGATGTCTAGCTGTCGATAGGTCTATCTTCTCCTCTGAACATGCTTCCTCTAGCGCACAACAAAAGAATATGAGAAGGATATGCAGTGGTGAGGTGAAGAAGGCCAAGCCTCCCCTCCATCTCCACTACTTTTCTTTTTCAAACTCTGAACGTTGTGACCTCTAGTGGACGAAAGGGTTACTACAAGTAATCTCGAGAACGAGGCGAATGAAGTATAATTACCTTCAGTTATAGCTGTATTGATGCATAAAGTATCTATAAAGACCTACAAATTTAAACCATTACCCGATCGGAAAGTTTAAGAGGGCTTCATGTTGGGCCTACATTGGTTACCCAGTTACCTATGTAGGTCCAAACAGGGAAAATAAATAGAGGTAGATGGCGCAGTGTAATGGGGTATTATGTGAGGCCAATATTGGCATCCCAATTAACCTATAAAGGACAGGGTTAGAAAAATAAAGAGAGGTTTGAAAATAAAATTTAATAATTAATGTAGGCGACGCATATAAGTCTAATTCGTGATGACATTCATTAGCATAATTTATTAGCAAATTACTCTCATTATTAAATACTCCCACTTCATTGATTATCCTACGCTTCAAAATTTTACTTACTCACGAACTCTTTTTAAATTTATCAACAATAAACGCTATTCTTTGTCACCCGTAGTAATTTATTAAAATAATGAAACTTGAGTAAATCTTCGTGTTTAATACTTAATATGAGTAATTACTGATTTACTTTTTAATACACACATATAATCTGCAATATACACAGTTATACATCTGTCCTCGAATATATATATATATACATACATATATATATACACCTCTCCGCTCTCGAATCTTTCGATGCGTACAAGGAAAAACTGGGTAGACGATAACTTTCTCGTCCCCAGTTAGCGTCCACATAGAGCCCCATTACAATCCTTGCTTGGTACCACCTATAGGCAACTCACATAGGCCCTAGCTTACTAGCGTGGGAGCCCTGCTAACTTTCCGATCGGGTAGAGTTAAGTATTTATAGCTATAAATTTAGGCAAAGTTAAAAAAAGAAATATTATCGAATCTAACTTTGTTGAAGGTTTATCAGTCACTAGTATTTTCATCATCCATATATGATAACGTTTTTTAGAGCTGTTATACCTTTGGAAAAACTTGATTTTAAACATATTTTCTTCTTTGAAATTGGCCCAAAATTTACATCTGTTAACACCTAAATGTAATAGCTGAAATTTGTAGGTCCAACAGAAGGTAATTATAGCTGTAATTACAGCTATCATTAATATACGTACAAACATCTGGTCATTGGTTTGCATCGATAGCCGAAAAACACTATTCTTGTGTAAAAAAGCCATGTCTGAGCTTAAGGGCGATGATGAATAAAAAAAAAGATGTATACCTTAATGATTCTAGGGTTGTTTGGAACGTTTCGAACGTCTTAGTCAAACAAATCTATTAAGGATCATATTTCTTAAAAGGTATGTGAATTGAATTTTGCTGCCGCTTCGAACGTCTTAGTCAAACAAATCTATTAAGGATCATATTTCTTCAAAGGTATGTGAATTGAATTTTGCTGCCAACTTTCATTGTTTTACTTATGCTTTTTATCTTTATTACGTTTATCAGTTGCCGCATTTGATTGATTTCTTTAATTTATCAAGAGCGAAATATTTATTCATAAATGTCATCGCGATCCTATTTTTATTGCTTTATTTTATCAAGCATTGGTGAAATGCGCGCCCACGAGCAGTAGAGAAATTAAAAAAAATTAATTTTCAAATTTTTTTACTGTATACGGCTGATTCTGTGGGACTTGGATTCGAATCTTGGTCAGGTCAAATAAGAATTTTTTTAAAGTTGTTTCTGTCTGTGATTCATTCTCAAGTCTAATGGCTGGTTCTCCACGACAGGGTGACTGGAAAGTAAGATCCATGTATGCTCTAGGTTGGTTACAGACTAGTTGAGGATAGTAATATGACGTCAAGAGAAGTAATTGAGTAATAACGATTTACAGTGGGGAAGATGGGATGTAGGTTATAGTGTAAGTAGTTTAGTAGCAGAAGCTAGGGTAAGTGGTTATTTGTCGGGGTTAAGATAAAATAATACCCTCCACACAAAGATCGTGAAGGGTATCCGAAAATGTACTCATGTTACTCAAATGGTGTGCAGAAAAAAGTTTCTAAATTTTTATTTAAGTGAAAAACTCTGAATTCAACTATAACTGTTCAAACAGGTGCTTTTGAACAATAACGTTCGTATCACACCTGCATATTCTTTGTATATGGTATTGAATCTAAATTATGTAATATTAACAAAAAACTACTTTTTGTTTGTTTACTATAAGAATTTATATGTATTTATACAGTACATGATTACCTGTATTACTTGAAATGTTGTGTATAAATATTACGCATTTATGATAGGGTAATTATCAATTTTATTACTTAAAATTTTTACATTGATATAATTTTTTCCCTTCAAAAATTTGTATCAAAAATCTTATGAATGACATTTAGGTGAAACATTTTAATATTGTATGAAATGATTCTCCAGGATTTGAACATCATAACACGACGAACTCATCAATACTGTACTTAACCATGGAAAAAAGTGCAAAGAGTACATTTAGAGTACAGAGAGTACAACAGATTTTGAAAATTTTTTTAATGGAATGTACTTCTTTCGAAAAATTTACGAATAATATATAATTATGAACTTAATGAAACAAATTGCGATATAACAGGGCCACGATTGAACTGAAATAGTATACATACATTGTAGCAGTGTAAACATTTGATAAAAATGTAAATATTAGTAAAAAGTGCATACTGAAATTAAAGTAAAGATAAAAAGTGCTAATGTATGCTCTTCAGGAGATACAAAACTGATGATATATAAAACTACAATGCATAAAGGTTGAAACTCTATTATGAAGATGTACACAATGTGACATTAATGATAAATGTATAAATACATAATAATATGTAAGTAAAATGTAACTACGAATAAATATCGATGAAAGGAAATTTCAGGTCTGTATTTTTTAAATTTTCTTCTATCCATCGATTAGCCTTCTCTCTAAGTTCTGGCGTGAACATTTTGTGCCATGCCCCGCTTTTACCTTGACGAATAAAGTTGTCCGCCTTAAAGAGTACTTTTGTATTATCTTTAGTTAAATTGACCATTCTATTTTTTTGTAAATTAGAAAATCTCAGGTGGTCGGCAACTTCTTGATATTGTTCATCTTTGTAAGACTTGCCCAAGAATTTTGCAACTTTTTTCGTTGCTGCTAATAAATCCTAAAATTTAATAGCAAAAAAGGTTTGTCTTTTATTTAAAAAAATAAGCTAATCAATAAGAATAAATGTAAATAATTGCAAAAATCAAAAAATTTTACTTACGTGAGTCATTTCTTCATAAAACAAAAATAGAAAATTGGGGTTGTGCCTTTGGGCCCAAGCTTCTTTCAAGTGCTTCCAATATGGGCCCCAGGATACTAAATAGAAAAAAAAATTTTCTTAATTTGAAATGAAAAAAATTACATCTCTCAAGTAATTTATATTGGTGTGGTAAGTAATTAAAACTTGATGGCATCAAACTTTGAGATAAAAGGGTAACTTACTTAAGTCATTTTGAAAATAATCCCAGAATTTTTCAAAATCTCCTTGATAGTCGTAAACTTTTACAGTTTTATGAAAATGATAATAAGAAACAGCAACATCTTTTGGATTACGTGCAACATAAATTACCTGAAAATGAGATGTTGAAATACATCTTTTAATGTATCTTTCATACAAAATTTCAAATCTTATTTAAAAACGTAATTTTAATTTACTTTTTAGTTTTTTAATAAATTTTTAAATCAACATGTAAAATATATTCAATACAGTGGATATGTACAACAAAAGAAAATATCAGAATAATTCAGCAGGCTCTCCACTTTTTGCAAATTGACTCTTAGTGTGAGCATAAGGAGGAGTGAAGGTATTTGTTGTACATAAAGTTTTAATAAACTTTGAATTTCGATTTCAATTTGATCATTAGAATGTAATATTAAATAAATAAAAAGGCAAAGTTTGAGAGTTAACGCTTTCTTAACAAAAAATTACTTGGACAATTGCAATACAGGACATATAATAATACTATTATTTAACATTTAATAATAATATTTAAGTACAAGATTTAAAATGGCAAATAGTATTTAAGAAACTAAATGTTTCCTGGTATATTAAACTAAAAATTTGTGACGTAAAAATGGATTAGAAAAAGTTTACAAACCATTACTATAGTATATCCAATATTATATTACGAAGCGATGTGATTTAATACATATATATTTAAAGTAGAAAGGAATCAGCTGTACTGTTTCGAAACGTTTTAACCGACTGTATTAGGAAATACATCGATGTATTGGTCATGAAAGAAAGAGGCAACGTGAATAAAATGGTAGGTTTTAGACATTACCTACTACCGTATTTTTATGACCACTTAGTACCCACTTGATAAAATAAATGAACGTATGTGTATAGCCAGCTTACTTAAAAATGTTTTAAGCTATTCTTAACTAGTATATAAATTAATTACATATTCTTGTAATGTAATTTTATTTTTAAATATCTGAAATAATTTAATTTTTTTAGGAGGAAGTGTGTTTTGTATACTCAATTAAAAGAAACATTCGATATAATGTGAATGTCATTAATAATACTTGAAAAAAGTTTTACGTACTTGACACCAATTTATCAACAAATAAATTATTTTCAACAGCTTTTATCAAGAAGCGTTAAACCAATGCAAATTCACATTCATACTGTTGTTGAACACTGATATATATCTTGTGAGTAAGCAGTACACGCATTTTCCTTAATGTAGGATGGATAAAAACGATTTAAAACGTACAGTTGCCAAACTCGTTATTAATTGTAAACAAAATAATCTGATTTTTAAATGCTTCGTACAATATTATTATTTTACTTTGATGTGAACCGAAAAATCAGTCACATAATTTAAAAAATTGGTGAATAGAATAAAATTTCTCTAAATAAATTTAAATAACTTTAGACATGTGTAGAATGTTTTTTGTACTATTTTTTGATTTCATACATCTACTCGAATTCATGTATCTATAATAGTGTAGGTATGCTTAATTTACAAAAGTATAATAAAAAAATTACTTACTTTGCAGTCAGACTTAAGGATATTGGGAACTAAACTCAGCGGGAAATGAGTTTTTATAAACCTTGGCGACGGCATTGATCGGGCGATCTCATATGTTAATGATAAGTTCGAAAGCAATGACTCGATTTCGGCATTATCCTTATTCTCTTCAAGGAGATTTTCCGAAGTTGCGTCATTTATTGCCATAGACATTCTGCAAAGTTTAGGACAAGGTACCTTTAGAAAACGATTAAAAACATTTTATGCAAACAGCATTCAAATCAACGATGGACATGGCACTGTACCATTTTTTATGAATTTTCATTGTAGGTATTAACAAAAATAATAAAAAAATAATGATAAACTGTAACTTACTCTAAAAACGGACATCTTATTACCAAAGGTACTGATTTAGCCGTTTCAAAATTCAAATCATTGCTTAGAAGCCATACCAGCTCTTGAGTCCATGTTGTACCTAATTAATTATTTACTCCAAGTATATTATTTATTATTTGATAACACATTGAGTATTGCATTACGTACTATTTGAACTTTAACAAAAAAGTATAAATAGTTAGTCATCGAATTTTTACTTGCAGAATTACTGACGTAGCAAAATTTAAATTTAATAACACATTATCATTAAATAATAACAATTCTCAGATATTCTAATGATTTTTAATTAATTTGAAAGTTTTTGTAAATATTATCATCTAAATTTTTTATGCTTTTCGTATAAAATTCTTTTATTAAGGATAACTTTTGTAATGTTTGCAATAATTTGGTATAACGTTAAAAAAAATAGTACATTTTATTTGACTTTGTGGCAGTTTTCTTTTATATCTTTGACATTTTTTTTAATATTCAATGTGAATCATTTTATTTTCAATCGGCAAAAATGCACTAAGATAATATTTCTAATAAGTAGATACGAAACTCTTATGATAAAATGGAGTTGAATAGAGAGGGAAATTTCTCTAACTGTAAAACGATTAATTAAAAATTTGTAATAAAGTGTCGATTTCCAAAAGGTTTTCTTTACTCTTTTTTTGAAATGGATTATTAAAATGGAATGCTTGCTCATTTATTTTTATCTAGAATGACTACCTGATCTCGGGAAAGTCACGACCCAGGTATCATCAGGATTTACTTCAAAATTGTAGTAGATATGACGCTGCTTCACATATTTTGCAGGTAAACACCATTTTTCCTCTTCTACTTGCACCCAACCGACTTTTTCACCTTTCATGTCTTTGAGCATTTCTTTCGTCTTTTCATCGCTCAAATATTTGATTTTCGGTAATTCGGAGTCCATTTTGAGGTCTTGAAAATGGTTTAAAAAAATACGTTATCCAGTACTTAGTTAAAGATACATTTTTTGCAGGCACAACCAATAAAAAGGATTGTCATATATTTTTGTCGGAGCAGTTGGTACAATTGTTTATTAATACACTATTTTGGCTGTAAAATATAAAATATGAGTGCTGCAGTAAGCGTATGTGTACTAATTTTTTTTAGACTAATTGAAATAATTAATTATCAAAGATTTTTACTTATATTAAAAAGATAACTTTGGACTTAAGACAGATTATATTATATGAAAATGAAAAAATTTCCTACATTTGTGCTTCAAAAATTCTAAGAAAAAAAAGTCCTTTTGCAATAACGTTTAACATACCTTTTACACGTTCGAAAAGCAAAGTTATAGATTTCATAAAAATAAAACTTTTCATGTTATACTTTTTTACTGTAGAATATAATGCAAATGATCAATGGTTAAAAAAAGTTTGAAAATAGCAAGAAAGTATTTTTTGCCTATTTCAGACGAAAAAAGTCCAATTTAACAAAGAGTTCAATAGATAAGGAGAGGAGCTGAAAATGGCAGAATGGATAGTTTTCGTATCTGGTGACGCATGTCTCCAGGGCAAGTACCAGGCCCAAGCAGAGCCCGAAGGACTCCATGCACTTGCCCTGACTGAATGTGCACCAGGTGCGAGCCCTATTTTTCCTACCGACGGCACATCTGACCCTCAAAAACGCCCGAGGTAGGACACATTTTTTTGTGTCACTTAATTTTTTTAACTTGACGCTTAAGATCGAAGTATTATTCATTACAGTTAAAATATTGAATATTAATAATTTTTGTAACCAAAACTTTTTTGTGTTGGGTGAATGAATAAGTACATACTATTTTTCGCTTTTGTTTTGTTTATTGTTAATTCTGATTTACTATTGTTATTAAAAATAAAAAAAAAATGTTTTGAACATCTGTAAACAAGCTCTGCATTTAAATCAGTATTGGGAACCAGATATTAATCAGAAGAATACAGTTCCAAATTGGTGCATATTATGCGCGTGCGTGTGCGCGCGGACACACACACACACACACACACAAACTTGACGGTATTTTCAACATGGCTTGTAATAAGTGTATTAGGTATTTAATACATATTACAATTCGGTTTTGATTTTTTTTTTGTATAAGTATGAAATATAGATTGATAAAATAAGTGAAAATTAATATGGATTCATGAGTGTTAAAACACCACGTAGGTAAAATGCTCTAACATATTTGATGCAGTATTAGCCGCTTCTTACTTGCAAAATTGATTTCCTAGTAAACTATCTTTTTTTTGGCAGTAAACAACTTGTGACGTAGTCATGATATAGCTTATCTTTCACGTAAGTAATTATTTTATTATTTATGGCATCAGATCTTATCACTTTCATTCAAATTTATCATTTACATTGTAAATATATTTAGCTGATAATTTTACTTCAACTCTTGTTGAATCGTATTTTTTTATATGATGCGCATGGTAGTTTTAATAAGCGTTTAAAAATTTTTAATTTGTTCAGTTTCACGATCTTTCAATAATAAATGGAAAAAAATTTTCTTAACCACTGACAAAAAGTCATTGTAAAGGATGACTTGAAGATGATAAATCAGTAAATAAATATTTAAGATTTCATAAACTTTCTGCATTAATTTTTATGTTACAATTTTTCATTTGGTTACTAATTAAATAGTTGTTGATATACATCCATTAAGTTGTTAAGAGAAATTATTTTATTTGCTGTAGAATATTTTACAAATGTGTAGAAATTACTTTGTATTTTGAGTATATTAAACAAATTCTAATAAATTTTATCGAATGACAAAGTGCAAAAAGCAAAAACTCCAAAAAAATCTAAATTACTTGATACATTTTATCTCATGGGTATGCTTGTAAATTTTGATAAGATAAATACTGTACCTTGGGAAAACAAAATTTATGTTCAAAACAAGCGACGCGATTCGCATCGAAACAGAAAAAACTAAATTCTTAAAAGCCAGAAAAATAAAAAAACTTACCTTTCTGGATGGAAACAAAAACTGCCCTAATTGCTCTAGAACCACTTGCAGTCTGATCTACACAACTGGATTGTTTCGTGGTCTTTTTTTACGATCTGCACTGCAAGACGGCAGACGCGGAATTAAGCAAGCGATACTCTTTCACTGCCAACAAATAGGAGTATATACATGCGCAAAAAGCACATATATATGACTGTGTGTGCAGCTTCGTCGGGCCTTCTGTTACTAAAACTTCGCGAGAACAGGTGCATTATACTTTTTTTTTATACATGCGAGAGAATTCAGTACATATTTGTTGGTTTGATGTTTAGGGAATAGAGCGAAGTTTCAAACCTATTACGATAGAATAAGAGTTTGCTGATACAACTTGTGATTTTCGAGTGTGACCAATCAAACTTTGATACTTTTTACATGATCAATGAATAATTTATTTTGTCGTCTTAGTGCAAAATAGTATATGATTAATTTTCGTAACTGTAGTGTATCTGTTTTATTTATTAATGAGGACGTTTTCTTCAAAAAATAATCACATGGTTTATTGAAAGCACAACTTTTTAGTTTTTCCTTACCAAAAACGTCCAAATTCGTATAGATCCAACAAACTTATCTGGTAGATTAAAAAAAAACGAAACCTGTAATACAGTCTCCACACTAGAAAATGAGCTAATTCTGTAAAATATACGAACGAGAATGTATCCATCAACTCCCTTAACGTCATACTTGACTCTCATCCATTTCACATGTGCTGCAGGTTGTTTTACATGTACACACACATGCTACCTGACAAAGATGAGAGGCGAAATGTATTCAAATCTCTTCCTTTTCCTATATTTCCTTTACTCTGCAAAGTGTGTAGAACCAACATTAAAAATAACACGTGAGGTCAAAGAGAATTTGTAATACATAATAAAGATTAACATGTGTGTACATATATCAGTACTGCAATGGACGAATAAGAACCTAATTTGAAAGTATACAAAGTAAATTGCGCGCGCTCTCTCTTTCGAGATGTATTATATCAGATTTCGCGCCGACGAGGTCAGTATAGCTCTATCCGAGAGTTCATTTCCACAGATCGTTGTCTTGCCCTGAATACTGTTGTACAACATACTTCTAAGAAGTTTTTCTTATAATTTTTTTGTATTGTTGGTCAAAGTAATTAGCAATGGAAAAATTGTAAATTTTTTTTATAGTGAATCGGTATAAGTATTAGTACACAATAGGGGGTTCGTTGTTTCCGGACTAACTTTTCTTTAGCTTCCACAATTTAAAATATTTCTGTGTATAGCTAACTACTACCCCACAAATTTCAATTTAATCTATTGTAACGGAAAATTCCGTTGTACCCAATTTGTGTTTTTTTTATAAAGCTTGTATATTAATAGTATGACGAAAAAAACCGTTCGTATAGTCTAGAATTAAGACTGTTATTTCCCCACTTGTTACAAGAAGGAAAAATGCTATACTAAGTGGGAGAAAACCAAGGTGAGGAGCGAGCAAGAGTCAGAGAAGAGCGACAGTCCCAGCAAGGGGTCGATAGTGAGTAGTAGGATGGTATCCTATACTTCGCTATCCTCCTTCTGTGGCTCTGTCAAAACCAAGAAAAAATAATTATTACAAATAATACCAACTCTGTCTACTCTGATAAGAGATAAACTTCTTGCTTATTACTCAATAACTAGTAACATCTAATAAATAACAAACTTAACTCTAATTTTGAGTTCTTGTACCTCTCGTTTGCTTTTAGTTATTATATGAATGCAGTACTGATGACTTTTAGGCTCGTACCCTCAAATTCAACTTTTTATCCATATATTTAACACCTATTCCCTTTGAAAAAATCTGGATACTAAATTACCGCAAGTAAAATACGCGTCACGTGTCGTTACGAATACGAGATATGTACCATTCGTCGTGAGTATCCAAAAATCTTTACAAAATCTGTTTCCGTGGAAGCACTATCATTACTTACACCAAGAACGTGAAGTTTCTATCTTATCCTGGCTTTTTCACGATCATCTTCTTGAGAATCATTAAATAACTATATAGAGTATATGCCTGTAGTCCATGCTTCATGTATAAAGAAATTTACACAACACTTTACTTCGTATTTCTAATAGCCTAATTAAATAATGCAGATTCATTGCCATCATGACACTACCTCACTTATCGTGAATTTTCCACATTCAATCCGTACACATCAAGCCATATTTTAGTATGACGACTAGCAAGCCCAAGGCTATTCGAATTCTAGAAAATCCGTGTACTTTAAAGGCCGTTTAATTGGGTCAATATACCGAAAAATAAATACTCAAGGTGCGTAAAGGCCTTGAGCAAGCTATAGAACCTTACACTATGTATTAGCTTGAATCTCATTTAATGATTAAGTAACAAATGTATTTAGGTATATACATTTTTTTGCCATTGAAACAACCGCACGCTGTAAAGTACGTTAATAGCTTCAGTCTTAATTCGAAATATTACAAAAGAGGGCTAAATAAAAATAATTAGAAGGCTCTAGTGATACTAGATGAAATAATTCAAAAATTGACCAAAGTAGTTATGGCATTAAATTTGTGGAGTATGCGTACAATGTCACAACGTTTAAGCCTGTAAAAACAGAACAAAAGCCGCTCAAAGCCCTAATCAGGTGTAATAGTATGCCACAAAAATGGGCTGTAAAAAAAAATACTCAAATCGCCTGTCTGCCAATATACCATCGATCTAGAACGTTCTGTATTTTTCCGTCTTAGATGCGTAGTACTACTTTTTTCTCCCTGAAACTGTATTTTTAGCTTTAGATACGTGACAAATAACACGAACTTGACACAGCGTAAAAAATCAATGTTTGTAACAAATTGACCTACTTTGGATATCAAGGACATCAATTTTTTAGGAATTATATTTTCAAACACAGTTATGATGCAAGCTCTTCCCACAATCTACGTTGACAGTACTTT